CTCCATACCCTGGTCCTGAGGGTCTTGCTATTTTTCCTTAATTTCTGAACTTTGTTCCAGCAAATGGAACAATCTTTCAAATTAGACTGTTTTAGCATGATTAATTTTCAGGGATTATCAATAAAAACTGCACTAAATGTAATAAATCTATTAGTATAATAAAGATTATATATATTCACTGTATATGCAATATATCTGCCTCCTAGTTAATGACAGCTTTAGAAGATTTATCAGTAAAGAACTGAAGACCCAAAATTGAATATATAAATGAAGAAAACTGCAGTCTAGTTGCTCACAAATGTATATTTCATTCATCACTGCCTTACAGGTCTTCTCATTCTTTAGCATGAGAATAAAGTGCTTCTTTGCAATCTAAGGAAACAATAAAAAAGGCTAAAAATAAATACTGTGGTTAATATATAGACAGATAATATGCAACATTGGGATTGAGATCTCTGTGACCAACATTTGAGCTTCATGATTCAACAGCATGAAAATTATGATTATGGTTCTTTCCATGAGCCTTATCTGCCCTCTTGTGGCAATAGATAGCAACAATAGGCTTTCAACAGAGGAAGACAATACAACCAGCAAAACTTAATTTGTACTGCCAACATTATTTCACTCTGAGAAAGTAAAATACCTTGAGCAATTATCCAACAACTAAAAACCTAAACAGCAGGAGACACCTGTCATCACTAAGAGCTAATTCTGGACTGTTGGGGCACTTTAACCAATTAGATTTTTTACTGCAAACTTTTTTCAAAATACAGAAAACAAATCTAAATTACAATTGTAAATAACAATTACAATTTTAATACACAATACAGTATATTCAATATATGGCCCTACATATTAATAATAATAATTGCTTACACTTATACAGGTAATGGGGACTCCCCTCCACCACCAATATTGGCATTTACTAAAGTAAAACTACAGCTGTTGTATATAAATTGCAGTATTTTTTAGTATTACAACAATATAATCAGAGACCTATTGCAGATTGTTTTTGACAATCACACAGTCCCAGACAATTTTGGTTTTGATTTCTTGTTTTCTGTGTAGTAGAAACGGCAAAGCTAACATGACAGACATCCGACATCACTACCTATGTTTGATGTGAAACAAGCACAGCTGATCCCAAAGGAAACGGATCCATTTGCTCTCCTTGCTGGGCACATATAAATAGGCTCCTTGAGTTAGCCAAACAAACAGGAATGCAGGATGAACTATGTTTACCAATATTAAATGTAGCATAAATTAGCATAGAAACGATTAGACAAGAACAAACTGGCAAAATGTATTGTACATATACATACACACACATTTTTAATTAAACTCAAATGGTTTTCCCAAAACATTTAATTTTAGATGTGTGGGGCAGGCCTACCTCTCCCCAGTAGCTCACGGGCAAACTGCAATGAAAAACCATTTTAGTAAAGTTCCACAGTATAAAAAAAAAACTATCACAAACAACCCAACACCAACCTTCCTCAGGAATCCCTTCATATACCGGACCTAGGCAAAATGAAGCCCAGGTGAGAATGTGAATCTCACTCTTCTCCACTTACCTAATTAACAAATTAAAAACATGTTAGAGTACAGTGTCCATAGGAGATGCAGGCCCAATCTCTCTCTCGTGACAGCTGAAACAGATGGGTCACTTCCGCCGGCCTGGCACAATGTTGTTTAAATTATATTGAATGATGGAAGCATGCATATTTCAAACCTTTTGCAGTCTGTTCAATTTCTTTAATGGGAATAAAGTCTCATTGGGGAAATTGTGCTCAATTTACAAGTTTATATTAAAACATTAGATGTCCTGCTCTATGTAATAACCACCCCCACACACACCACCCCCTTTGTCCAGACGGTATAACAAATTCATTGCAAATGACAGTGCAGACTTCATTAAAAATGATTCAAGATAAGTAGAGATTTAAGATAAACGTCCTTAATTCAGACTGACTGTAATGTATAAAAGAAAAAAAGGAAACGATAAATAAAGGTAAAGTATGGAAACCCTTTAAATAAAAATAACTCTTCTACTGAATTACAATATGTTACAACCCCTTCGATCAATTATCAATTAGGCCTACAGGCATCAGTTAACAGCATTCTATATTGCAGATATAGGAAGGTTTAATAGCAGACATAATTGTCTAACATACTAGCATTAAAGATAGGAAACATTATTATAAATTAGAAAATAGTACATAAGCATCAAACATACTAACATTAATGATGATACACCTCTGGCTCCTTGCGGATTCATCCAGCCCAGCCCAGATATTTGCGTTTCTTCTACTATTGAAGAATTTTGTCAAATAAATGATATACAGTATAGCAAGGGAAAAATATGAATATATATATACAAAATGTTAAAAAAGTATTTAATAATAGTGGTGATCATATTTCTCCAGGAAGTTGATCCCTCATGTGTAAAACGCAGAATGTCATTGGAAGAAGAGATTCATGATTTAAACCTCTTTTTGCCTCCATGAGAGTGAGTGTCAGGGCAGGTGTGTCAGTGACACAGACAGGTCACTCAGCTGTAGTCGACACCTTAGGATCCTGCAGTGGCTGCACACAGTGGAGAGTCTAAGGAGACAGGGGCAGGGAGCTGCCTTCACAGATCCTGAGCAGTGGTAATTCACATTTGTTATCATTCCAGTTGTTCAAAGAAGTAATCTGATCAGCAGTAGGAGTAGCAGTAGCCAGACAGTCCTCATTTTCGTAATCGTCAGGCTGATTTTTCATCCAGTACCTGAAACAGTAGTAATAGGTTTACCATACATAAACACTCACACAGCTCATCAGTTTCTCAGACACTGGTACTGGAAAACCTACTACATTTCCTTCAGTACAGCTGACAGTGGACACTGCTGGCGCCATTGCTGTCCTTCACCTGTCAGAACCAGCAGGATCTACACCTGGCCAGTAATGTCTAGAGGTCAGTGTGTCTGCAGTCTGTCCAGTAGATGTAGTTCAACACCAGTACCTACCACTGCTCTTACCATTCAATGGGTTGAGTGCCGTCCACCCAGATCCAGGTCCCCTCTGCAGCTGCATCACTCAGTCCCATCCAGTATTCCCCTCCTTTAATCTGCTTCTGGATGAACTCCTGAACAAAAGAGTGATGAAGCAGGAGTTATAAGATTCCTTGTACCACATGAATATGACCGGCTGAAAGAGCTCCTCTGGGCTGTAACCTTCCAAGGAGGAAGAGCAGATTTACTCTGCTCTCTAGTGCTTCCAGTGCTGAATATGTATTCCACAAGCTGCATGGTCTGTGCCCCTCCCTCTTCACACACACAAAAAAAGAAAAGATCCTGAGCGACAGGACAAACTGCAGTTTGTCGTACACTCAGCTAGAGATATTCACAATAGTGAACAACTGCCATGTTGTAAAGGATTGCCTCAGATTTCAGAACACAGATGTACAGTATGAATGCAAGGCGAGCTGTGTGGATTTTTCCCCAAAAAAATATAATTAGAGTAGCAACTGAGAAAAAAAATCATTAAGAAAAAGATTCAGGGTCTCCAATTGGTTTCAGAATCATGGCTCCTGGTGCAGGGTTCCATTCCTTCATTAGTTTTGTATCTGCATCTTGTCTGTGCCTCATAGGGCAGCATTTTTTCAGCGCAGTAACACAGCCTCCTACCTGTTCAGTTCTATTGTTTATAACCACCAGATCAGCTCCCAGCTTCCTGCAGGCAGTGCGACTGTAATTCCAGCTCAGTGCATCAGTAGAGAAGTAGTAACACTTGGTGCTGAAGAGCTCCCAGCCCCAAGGACAAGGTCTACAGTCTTTTTCTGTAGAGTAAGAACAGACAACAGCTCATATCAGTTCATCTCTCTCTCCAGCACAGTGCATCCACCCAGCACATCTCTTCACTGTAGATGTTCAGATAGAGTCCCAGATCTAGTTCTGATCCCCCGTGATGAGTACATCTAAAATATTGTGAGCTATATATTTGGATTTATACCTGCTCATATCAGAACTGAAGCTGTAGTTTGGGTTCCTGTGGTTTCAAAAGGGGGAGCAAAGACTCTCATAATGAAGACACTAGCTGACATTTAGACAACAATATTAAGAAATTACACTGAAATAGAGCACACTAATACAAACATAAGAGTGCACTTCTTTCAAACAAGTAATGCATTCAAAGTATATTATATATATCGCAGAAGTCTGACAAGGTACAGCCAATGTGGGTAAAACAGGACACTACTGCAGTGCAACTGCAGTGATTTGTGAAGTGATCAATGTGTTCCCGATACTCTCAGTACAGTACATGGAAACCCTAAGGACACAATGAATGGGATAAAGACAGCTCACCCAGTGTGTTTTGGTCTGTGACAGGGCAGTACTGATCCACAGAAAAATGCTTTTTCAGCTTACTAATCAGAGACTGGAGGATTTCCGTTTTGTTCTGCAGCTTGTCGTTGATTCCAGTCAGGTTGCTGTAGCTTACAGTCAGGTTCCTGAAGTCCTCCTGTAACTTGTTATGGGTTGCAGTAAGGTTTCTAAAGTCCACCTCTAATCCGTTATGGGCTGCAGTTAGGTTGCTGTAGTTCACTCTCAGGTGATCCAGTTCCTTCACCAACTTGGAGATATTCTGAGAATTGCCATTATCTGTGGAGAGAAATGCATTTTATCAAAACACACTGAAAGAGCCTATGTCCATTAGAAGTTAACAATTAAACCCGCAAGAACTGTTTTGTGCATTTCCAGCTGGCCTAAGTTTCTCCAAGGTCTTAAGTGGAAGTGTAACTCATGTATCCTGATCCATGATTTAGCAACATGAAAGAACAGGGGTGCTAGCTAATTAGGGCCATGGTTAATTGTCCATGGCTGACCTAACTGCTTAACTTACCTTGTTTACACCTTATATGGTAACAAATGGTTACTGTTCAATCCTAAAAATTGTTTTTGAATTGAACATTTTGCATCTTCAAGAATAAAAGCATGGACTGTCCTTTGGAAACTGAATGACTGACCTGATAATTATGTCCGTTCCCCTTTCTTTATTGCAATAAAGAAATCATAACTCAAGTGGACTCATGACTCACACAGAATTTAGTTCAGGCTGTGACCCAAAAGTGTATAGGATATACTTCAAAGTTTGCAACCTATCCATGTCTCTTACCTATACAAGACAACTACACCACATGCATAAATCTACAATATCAAAACTCAAACTTCATCTAAAAACAGCTATACAGTACTCACAGAAGAATATCAGAACTATGATAGCAATCAGTAAGACAGCACACAGGAGCCCCAGACAAACTGCAGCCAGTCTGTAAGGAAGAGGGATGGATGGAGCTTTCACTGTGGACACAAAAACAAGAGAAATGCTTTTGGTTATTTGTGGAGTTCCACAAGGCTCAGTGCTGGAATCAATGGGTTTTCCTTGTAGACGTGATAGAGTACTAGATTTGATGTTGACAGTTACCCAAGATGCAATGCCCTTGGCATGTGACTGGCTCAAGCCTGGATAGTTCTGCTGGGGTAGCTATAAAGTCATGCAAAAAACTGTTTCAGAAAACAAGATGACATGCGATAACCAAACTGGCAACTAGGTCACTACTCTTCAAAAACTCATTTCTCCCAAAAGCCCATTGCATATCAGAATTACACTTCACAGAATCCAAAATTCCTTTTTGGAATGTGGACCTAGAAAGACAAAATATTTGTGACTCTCCACATCATTGAGAATGCAAAACACTGAAGTAAAAAACATTCCACTGAATTACAGTATAGGTCTAACTGCTAAATGCTCACAGCATAGTTCCAACAATGTGGCACCTTTTACTTAATAGGGGGAAAATTACTTTAATAGGCTGCTGGATTTGTGCTGAGTGATGAAGGGTCTGTCATTCAGCACAAAATTTAAAAATACCAATATTTTGCTATTACAAAAAAAAACAAACAACTCAGCTCTCTGTATCTGAGGACAGTTTCAAAATTCATTGTTGAAAAAAAAAGACTTAACACTGACCTGGTGCATTAATACAATATTAAACTGTACTGTAAGGAAGTCACACCCACCTCACAGCTCTGCTTATCTGACAAAGAAACCTTTTCTATTTCATAAGACAAAAATAACTGACCTGGTTGTTCAGGAGATAGTGCTGTCTGTGCTGGGGCAGATCCAGCTGTCCCCACATTCTCATAGGTCACCTCATCCTGTTTCCCTGACCGAGAGAGAACCAGGAATTTAACACAGAGACTCATACCATCGCGGTGATGGTTTAAGACTGCAATGAGAGCTCTTTAGACTGGGTTGATCAGAAAATCATCAGTAACAGATTCATGCTTCGCTTAGCCAGGTGTTACAGTAGACATGTCTTGAAGATTCATTTGAGTTACATGTTTTCGAGCCATTTATGTCCGGATCTACTCAACGGCTAAATACGGAAACCGATTTGTCAGGGTACTGAATGACCCCACAGCTGATTCTAGATGTCCTCATTAGTACACAGTTCAAATTTATAAAAACTTGGAGAACCTTTGCATCTCTAGCATTCTCTAGCCTTTGAGGCTCATGTGTGGCGTTGGCCTCAATGGCCTTTAATTTAATGGCCTATTACCATTTCTGACCCTAGCAGATATTGAACGGTCCCGTTTTTGCATTGAAAGAATAAAGTAATCCAACATTCCTTTGCAGTATTCCCCAGCAATACTTTAAGGAGCATCCAACAGGCTCAGAACACCTGCCCATGGTATGACAGTCTAAATCATATTTCATAGGTTATCTATACAGTTAATAAGTTAGACAGTTATAAAATTCAGGTGGGTAGCTGCGTCAGCATGTGTAGGCTGCAAAGGAACAAGTAATAGGTTTATTCCATGCTGAAAAGAGAAGAAAGAAAACACAACGTTTCGGCCGTGGAGCCTTCTTTGGGTGTGAGGATGTGAGGAAGTCCCCACGTCCTCACACCTGAAGAAGGCTCCACAGCTGAAACGATGCATTTTCTTTCTTCTCTTTTCAGCATGGAATAAACCTATTTCTTGTCCCTTTGCAGTTATAAAATTTACTACAGTCTTAAATGACAGCTCCATCTATTACTTGCAACCTAAATTTACTTGAAATGGATATACCTCTGTGGCTGACTTACTGACTTAACCAGACTTTAGCAACAGGCTTCTCTAATGAAGCACCCGGGCATTTGATTCCCCTGCTTAATGCAAGAAGTTTCAAATCCCAAAAAGCTGTAAGCATGACTCTTAAAAACCTGTTAATCTCTGATTTGTGTTGCACCTGGTCTTAAAAATGTAAAATGCTAGTTGCTGTTTGACTCTTACGGTGCAGAGGGACACGCATGAGCCTCAAGACAAGTAGAACCGACATCACTGCCCACTCACTCCCACTTTCTAAAAAAAAATCCCCTCTTCCTCTCTGACTGGAAAGCGAGTGTAAAACTATCCTGCTGTAGAAGATCCAACATCCTCCCCATTCTGAGCATTGGGCTGAAAGATGACGAGTAAGAAGGTCTGACAGAGTTAATAGTTGTTGACAGAGTATGACAATAAAACACACATGGACCTGCAAGGTGTCTCAGACATTTTACAAGATTGGGCTTTTTGATATGAGATAAGACTGCCATTTACGACACAGAAGGTTCCCTTTGCTTTTAAGTCGAGCACCTTTTCCCCTTGGTGGGCCACCACCATGGAAAGATCTACACTTCTTTTAGAAACCACACAGTAACCACAAAGTGTTTAAAAATACTATGCAAATTTGTAGCTTGAAAACAGCTGTCTAAAACTATGCTACTAAAAAGTGAGCTAGTTATTTAAAAAGGTAACAAAACTGCAGAATGCAAACTGGGTTGAATTAATAAAAATTTCAAAACTGTAGTGGAAGGGAGTTACACCCACCTCCCAGCTCTGCTTATCTGGCAAGGAAACCTTTCGTATTTCATTGTAAGTAAAAAAAAGACTGACCTGGTGCTCCAGGAGGAGGTGCTGTCTGGGCTGATGGAGCTCTTGCCGTCTTCACCTCTGCATAGGTCACCTCATCCTGTTTCACTGATGGAGAGAGAACGAGATATTTAAAATATCTCCGTAGTGGACTGAGTTCTTAAGACTGAGTTGATTGGAATGTCTTCAAAGTTGGCTTCAAGGTCAACCAAGCTAGGACTTTCCCAAGAGTGTTAGAAGGCTTTGAGCCATTTCTGTCCACATCCCAACAGCAGAGCACAGAAACAGCTCTTATCAGGGTACAGCAATGTACTGTACCAATGACTTGATACTAGAAGCTTTCGTGTTTTTTTGTGAGCTGCATTGATTATTGATAAGAGCTATCCCTTCACTATTATAACTTTTCTTCTGGTCCTGAGTTCTTGGTATGTGGTGTACCATTTTGAGATCCAGCCGTTTTCCATGTGCTTCTTCCTATCCATGGTAGTGTTAGATCCAGAACATATACCAGCCAGCAGTAGGTTCAAAACAGGGTACACCCTGGATGGGATATCTGTCCATCAAATGGCTGACAGGCACACATACACTTATACCAGGGCCAAATTTCCCAGAGGCCAACTAACCTACCAGGATGTCTTTGGACTGTAACATCACAATGTGGGTTGCAGATTTTCGACCCTAGCAGATGCTGAAGGTCACCTTAATTGATCACCTTAAGATTATTGTAATCTAACATCCCTTTGAGGTGCTTACACATCAATACTTAAAGAAGCCTCCAGTCACCCAGACAACAGAACGTCAGCCATGTTATGACCATCTCTATACTAATGTCATTGATTACCTGTGAAGCGGCAATGCTTATTAATAAGACAGAATTAAGCGTTGCTGTGCTTTCCTTAATGAGGCCCCATCTCTCTTACTCATCTCTGTGGAGCAGCCACAGAGAAGCTATTCATGTACTGTAGCTTTCTGTTTTAAAGTGCTTTCATTCCGATGAGTAGCAGCTCCCAAATGGGGATGCGCCCAGCCCTGCCTGGCTATCATAATGGATGGGTTATTCCTGGCACCAGGATGTTTGTAAGGCCCACTCGGATCCTTACAAACACCTAGTTTATGGTCCCAGGGTCAACAGGTCAATGTTACTCTTTCCTACTGTTTACCAACCAATCAGGAACCTACAGGGCGTGGTAACCCCACGTAGGTCTCAAACGCTCAAATGCTCTCAACCAATCACCTGTCTTTGCTCTGGGTAAAAAGACACTGCAGAGCTCAGAACTTCTGGCCACCTCCACATACCCTCAGAGACAATCACGTGACGGCCAGTGTTGTCTGTATAGGGGCTGGAAGCTTGTTTCAGGAAAGCATCAGCCCGGGGAACACCCTTACCTACGAATTTTGATTCTGAGGTCTAGCCTGCAGCAGGCCTCGTGAAACTCTAACGGCCAAAGCGGATGCTTCACTTCATCATCGAAGTATACGTTTGGACTCTTGTCGACAACCTGAATAAGTTGACAGACTTTTTCTACTTCCTTCTTTCTGCGACTCGGAACTACACCAGGACTGGGTTGGCACCGAGCTGCAACAGAGCCTGCCAGCTGGTCTCGTGTCCATGCCCCGGGAAATACAAATCCATATCTAGATAAGTAACCCAATTTTCTACATTGCCGACCGAGAACTCAGTTGTACCTCAACAAGGGTCAATTTAAATTCTTGCGAGTAACGCATTTACTTATGAGTAGCTGACGTAGAATTCATATTCATGAAACAGTATAGCTGAACGGTATACTAAATGCATATTCACACACTTAAGAGCTAGAGAAGAGGATTACTAACAGTGGTATTGTGCCTTTCTTCACTTTCTGTAAAAACTCCAGGGCCCACGGATGGTATTGTATGGCCGTTTTCAATTGCTTATTATTGCAATAAATTGAGTGTTATGCTTTTTATACGGTAATTTCCTTTTAAAAAAGGGAAGTAACAGACAGGATGTCTGTCTTCTCTTTCCTGGATAGCTGTCACCATAGCAGTGTGCACACGTCTTTGAGAAATCACACGTTAGGAAACATTGTACAATAGGCAAACTTGAACATTTCTGCGCACAATAGCTACACTACTGAGACTTTTAAAACTTAGCTGGCTAATGCAAAAAAGTGCTAGAAGCTTACATTTACCACACAGAGGAACAATTAGTTACTTGTCAGCCTAGGCTTGTCTGTAGGAGAAGAGAGGAAATGGGCAGAGCCAGCAGAACACAAGGACTGAAGGAAAGAGAAATTCATACAGATGCTTCAGCAAATGAACACTGCCTGCAGACTGAAAAAGGATGATGCAGACCATTCCACACACACAGAAGGTAATACAGAGGGATTTAAACAATGACTGAACACTACAGCGACACTGCATTGAGACTCACCCGGTGTTCCACGACTGCAGTTCTTAGAAAAAGTCACAGAGGAATACATAACCTCTTCCGACATTAAGACCAATCGAGACACACGCACCGACAACAGAAGAGAGCAGATGGAGCAATACAGCCAGATGCTCAACTCTCCTTCTGAGTTGTCAGAAGAGACTGACAGAGAGGTTCACACAGAAATAGGAACAGGAAGAAAGAAAGTTGGAATGTCTATTTATTTGTGTGGTTTACATACAGTAATACCCTTTTCCTTTCTACTTGTATCTAATTTGCTCCTCCTTTTCAGTGGGGCTGATATACTATATAGGCTGCCAATATTGCCACTTCAGAGCATTGTATCGACCGCACAATCTACATGGTATATGTGGGCACCTCCCTAAAATTGTATGCTTCACACTTGAGTCTTGTGTTTGTGAACTAGTTAGAATACATTAAATGTATGTGAATGTAAAATCCATTGAAAGTATTACGTACTCTATAGATGTACCGTCTTTAGTGTTGTCTCAGTGAGGCCAAAGAAATTTGCACTGTAGGTGAACAAAGTAGATTACTGAAGAGAACAGAAAGAAGTAAAATGCCAGCTAAACAAACCATGCACTGAGACTTGGGCACAGGTGCAATGAACTCCCTACAATATATATATACCTATAATAGACCACATGAAAATCCCTGGGAAACGGACCTGCTGGGCTAAGGCATCCAAATGGAATCGGGGGGGGGGGGGAAATCGCACTAATATTGATTTACTTCAATTAGCTTGTTTTAGAAATACAGTTTATAAAAAACATTTGAGGGTAGAAGCCACTACTACTACTACTTAAAATTTCAAATGGTCCAAAAACTCAATTCATCTAACATATTCAATTCATGACCACATCACCCCCAATTCGGACAACTTCCATGCATTCCAATTACCCAGCACATTCATTTAAAAAGTTTACACTTTTAAAGCCCTACACCCCAAATCATGAGCATCTCTTTACAGCCTATGTACCAAGAAAGGTCCTACACTCTGCTGAGGCCTTAGGTGCAAGAGTCTCAGGGCGTGCACATTCCATTGTCTTCGTCTACAGCTCTGGAACTCACTCCTTGTCAGTTTGAGAAATGTTAAATTATACAGTTTTTCAAGCCGAGGCTTTTTAAGCAGCAGTTGCCTTTCCTCCTTTTCCATATTTATTTTGGAAAGTTTTGATCGTGACCCTGTAAAATGTAAAGTACCCAAACACAGCCAGTGAAAGCTTCAGTGGCGACATCAAGAAACTTACTCAGTATGTCTGGATCAGTCTCGTATAAGGAAACCAAGACAGTTTAAAGGAAGACTTAGTCATCATGTGAGTGTCCAACTTCCCCCGCAGCAACTGGGAAGTACTGCAAGGGATATTAGAAACTGAAATAAGAAATTGTAACCATGTCTAACGGCTTTTCGATAGAGCACAAACTGGAAAGAATATGCAGTATATCAGTGAATCACTTGAGCGTAACCTAATCCTACTCCTAAGGACCTATCTGCTCAGGTTTTGTGCTGAGCTCTGCATCAGTATTACCCCTTATTTAGGTAGCTTGGCAAATGTGCTTTTCCCCACTCAAAGCTGAATTTCAGAGCTACCCCATTCAAGCTGGTTTCCAGCACCACCTGGGGCATCCAAAGCAATAGCTTATTGGATGTAAATTTGATTTTGGAGGAAAGGAAAGTTAAGGTTTGCAAAAGAGAAGAGATGTGCAGAGGTGGATTCAGTGACAAATGGAGGGCACTTTTACAATTCTGCTTGAAGCACAGACCAAAATCCCAGAACGGAGTAAAGCAATAGCTGAAAAACATCCCAAAAGGTTAATTTAGGAAAGTAAGGGAGAATAATATTTTATAGAAAATGTGTATGAGTGAGGATCCAGTAAGTGTACACTACAGTACAGACACAAATCAAGAAAGGAACATCACAACCTAAAGGGTAAAGTAGTGTTTTGCATACCACAGGCTAGACAAGGAAGTCAAAGATGAAGCAAGATACGTTACATTCATGACTAAACAAAAACTGAAATGACTGGGGATTTCCCCCTGGCCTTTACCAAGCATGGTCCCTCTCTGAACTGGCTTCATCACTCTGCTCTCCTCCCCCACTGCAGGTGTGGTGGGGAGAGTACACTGGTGGACTGTGTCTGCTGTCACTTCGTCCAGGTGGGGCTACACGGGGGTGTTGATGAAGGGGTTCGCCATTATCCGTAAAGGAGTGTCCAGGAAAGCGCTATACAAGTGTAAGGAATAACTTATAACAAGAGAAACCATGTTCTTAAGTACAGGCCGAGGGGCCCATTCGTCCCACCTATCTGGCTTGGGAGGCAAAAATAATTGTTAGAAAACAGGGTATCGGCTACAACATGGCTGAGTAGCTTGTTCCATACATTCACAGCCTCTTGTTCTCAGTATGAAAAGCACTTCCACGGTTGTTAAAACAGTTTTTACATATGTTGTCAAAATCAGGTTTTAACATGTCAGCATAGGATATTCCTCCAAGTCATGGAACACGTACATTCACCCTTCATTGGACTTCTTCCACAGCAGCAACATTTTCTGAAGGAAGGTGAACAATACTCGACACTATTCCAAAACGAAGCATTACAGGAGGATTACACAGCTTTACCATCACCAGATTTAAATTCTAGTTCTTACAAATCTTGACATTCAGAAGAGGTTGGCAGCAAACGCCTTAGTCTCTCGTAAGTAGCCTCTTCAAGTTCAATGTTTCCCAGTTTGGCATTTGTTTTTGCTGCCAGCATGATGAACTCCACTCATTTACAGGAGAGTTATTAAACATTTACCAGCTGTTTGCCCAGTCTTAATTTGTATAAAATGCAGGGATTTTAATCTGTTAATTTCCTACTTATACAAAAGCTACATGACTAGGGAAAAGCAGGGTCCCTTGTGGAGATCCACAAGTTAGATCACCACAGCTTGAGGGTTTATTCCTCATCTGTATCCCTGTACGTTTATTCTAAATCTAAGGAGATGCACTACCTTCAAAGTCTTTTGCCTGCGTACGTTTGAGGATTTTCATCCAAAGCATTCTGAAAGTTTAACTATACCAAATCATACGCTACACGATTACTAGTAGAGGACTTTGAACAAGCTGGTGAGGCAAAATTTAACTTATCTAATGCCACATGAAGTACAATTTCTTTCAAAATGTGGAAGTCACTTATTTTCTGCACCAAGTACCCGTCTTTTAAACCACAGGAAACCCTCACTCATAAGCGGGTGTGCCCGCAGATATTTTTAAAATGTCTCTGCGCCAATGTAGTCTGTGTGGGGAAACAAGACCCCCCTCATTTGTGAAATCTTCCACCATTTTAAAAGGTAAAAATAAACACATTGTATTTCTCATACAAGAATGATAAGGTGAAAGGAAGCCATTTTAAAAACAAAAGCTACATGTGAAGTAGCTGGTGTGTAAAAGACTATGGAAGTTTAACTCCCTATTTACCCATATACTCTTCAAGAACGCAACGGGTCATATTTAGGCAACAGCAGTTCTGAAAAAGCAGACAGTCACAGTAGCAGTAGCAGTACACATTCCAAACATTTTAATCTCTTTAAATGTTTAAGAGCACAGCTACAGTCTAGCAGGATAGTTATAAACAGGCAAGAATGATGAAGGAACAATTAACATTATGGAGGAAGAAAGAAACAACACCTCTGCCTCCACACTTCATGGCCCTCTGGCATGGAACAGGCTGAAGAGGGACTCATCCGTGAAGAGGACCTGATGCCACTGCTGACGGGTCCATCGCAGCCTCTGTCTGGCCCCAGCCAGTCGGGTGTGACGTCTAGGAGGTGTGAGCAGAGGGCCTCTGACAGGTCACCTTGCTCTAAGGCCAGCAGCATGGAGCCTCAGTGTCCTGTCAGTGATGTGGGCATTGTGTCTGCTGGCAGTTTCAGCAGCAGTACGGGTGGCAGATCTGAAACGATCTCTCAGATGGACCAGTCTGATGTGTCGGTCCTGCTCTGGTGTGGTCACTCGAGGGCGACTGGATCTTGGACAATCATCTGTCCTACCAGTCTGCTGAAACCTTCTCTGCAGTCGGGACGCAGTGGAGCGGCTCACTCCATAGTGTCTGGCAACGCTGGCACATGACATGCCTGCAGCATGCCGATGGCCCTCTCCTAACACCTCTTGCTTCTGGTGACATTCAAGGAATTATGGGATGCACAGAAAACCGATTAAGTGTAGCCTTTTTTTTTTTTTGCAGTGACCTTAGCTTTGAATTAAGGCCTTTTAAAAGTGACCTGATCAGGCATTGTTCCATCTGGACCTCGTTGGGTAAAAGTGCACCTAACAAGCTTTTGTGTGATTGGCAAGTTGCAATGCCTCCCTGCACAAGTATTGCTGGTCAGGGGGCTTAAAACAAATTGACAACTCCCCCATCAGTATACAAGCATACAAAGGTACAGGTCTTCTTTCACAAAATCATGAGCTCTCCGGGAACAAACATCGCAAGATACAGAACAGGACAGTATATGAAAGGATTCCACAAATGAGTGACAGTTAATTATTATTGCTTACACTTATACAGTGCTTTTCTGGACACTCCACTCAAAGCGCTTTACAGATAATGGGGACTCCCCTCCACCACCACCAATGTGCAGCATCAGTTTACAGTTTAGTGTCCCAGTCACTATACTGGGGCATTAGGACCCACACAGACTGCAGGGTGACACCCCTGCTGGCCCCACTAACACCTCTTCCAGCAGCAACCTTAGTTTGGAGGAGGTCTCCCATCCAGGTACTGACCAGGCTCACACCTGCTGAGCTTCAGTGGGTTGCCAGTTGTGAGTTGGAAGGTGATATGGCTGCTGGCCAGATGAACCTGATCTTGGATCTCTTGGCCAGATCCAAGATGTGGATTAAAGATCCACAGTGTTTAAGAGACGGGAACCATTCATTCAAATTAATCAAATCTAAGTTTATTTCTCAAATGCACAACAATACAGCATGCAGCAGTAGTTGCTGGCAATGAAATTACTTTTCTGCAAGCTCACAAGAATCACAAAAATAAACAAAACCACAAAATTAAGGTTATGAAAACAGGGTTACATAACAGATAATGTTATAGAAATTGAATAAAACTCAATATGAATAGTGCTGCTATGCGTCCATGGTGTATGCAATATATACACAAGTAGTGCAGTATGCTGAATACAATCGAAACTGTGTGTCATTGCGGGTGATTTGCTGAAGGAGCTGCAGGTTGGCTATTTAGCAGTCTTACTGTTTGGAGGTAGAAGCTGTTCTGTAATCTGTTGGACTTGGACCGAATGCTTCGGTATTGTTTAACAGACTGTAGGAAGAAAACCGTAATTAATAATTTTATTCAGTCAAAGAAGGGTTTCATTGGGAAACCAAGGGCTCGACTGGAACTAAAACCAACAGTATGGTCACCAGGACCAAGTTTGGGAACCACTGATGTAACGCAAGAAGGCACTTTGTAAAAAGTGACCTAAACCAGATCTGCTTAAAGAGGAACTACAAAACTTTTATATTTCAGGGTTAGAAAGAAACACCATGAGCATTTCAAACCACAAGGAAAGTAAAATGTACACAGTAACTCGAAAAACGTCCCATTTGCATCACAAAAGACATCATTTCAAGGTCCGCAATTTACAGTACTTAACTGAGCAATCAAGAATGAGGCAACAGGTGGCCCTACTCCATAGTAAACACGCAGGCTTGTGAATAAATCTGTTTAAATTCAATATAAGCATTGCCCTCAACCTCAAGACGACAAATACTACTCTGCCCACAGATCGCATTGGAAGATTTCTGCTGTGAAATGCCTGCTGCACAACCTGTTCTTATTCTTTCAAACACTGCATTGACTAGTGAAAAGGAAGGGCCACTTTATGGCACAACTTAATTCATTTTGTTACCAAGATCCCATAACCAATCTGAGAAGTTGGGACTGCAGTTCCCCTTTAAAAAGGGAAATCGAAATGGAAGCACAAATATTTTCAGCCCGATATTAGAGTTCATGCCAACAAAAAGCAGTTACATCAGCAGAAGGACAGTATAAGGAACAATATTTGAAAGGCCTGAGAAAGTTGAAAGAGCAATATCAAATAAGAAGTTTCCTTAAATTCAATGGAGAAGAGGTGATGAAGATGCTTGCAACCCTGAGACCTCTAGGTCCTGATGGCTTTCTGCCAATTGTACTTAATGAAATGGCCAATAGCAAAGTTTCTTCCAGCAGCCTGAGCATAGGTGCAACACCAATTAATTGGAAAAACTCCATGTAGGATTAACCCTTCACAGAGAAGAGCAGCAACCTACCCAAGTAATCAGACCAATCCGACTTGAATTACATAGATTTGTATGTCCATACGGAATTCTGGGGTTCATTGCCATGAATATGAAATATGGGCCTTAACTTGTCAAGCATCTGCAGTATTTGATATTCAACAGTTTTAGATTCAGGAAGGTTTTTTTTATTAAGTATCATGTTAGACTGAGGAAGTTGTATTTAAAGAATGCCTGTTTGTGGAAATGAGCTGGTTAATGTACCTCAGTCGGCCTACAAAGATTCAAGAGAACGATTCAAAAACAGGAAGCCCTCAGAGATATTGACACCATCAGACCAATGTACTGCAGTTCCTCAGATAAGCTTCCACAAAAAGAAGAAACCTTCCCCAGACTTCGTTCAAGGCAGAAAGTACTTTCTACAAAAGGTTGTGGGGGTCAGGAACAAGCTACCCAGCCACTCAAACAATAAGGACATCACATTTTGAATATGTTCACCATGGCAAGCAGACAAAACATTGAGAAAAGCCAAAATTGCACAAAGATGCACTTCACCATTGTATCCTTCACAGAATTCTCTTTACCTAACCTTACTTTTCCTTCAGTGTAAAGCAGCTGCTCTATAAACCAATAACAATAAACCTTAGCAATAAAGCTACCTGTAATGCACAGATTTCTGACATCCTGCATTCATGTTAAATCAGGGAGTCCCAGACTCAATTTCCACATTCCAAACACCTGCTTGGTATCATCCTAGCTGGGCAAGTCCATTACACCCTTAAACAGCAGAGAACTCACCAGTTTCTAGCTTCCTTCATGATCTTCCTTGTAACCAGCACTTCTTAGTCAAACAGCTTGCTCGCTCAGTTAATCAGAAAGCAAGAATTAAACCAGAGAAGTGGGGGTGCATCAAGGATTAGAAAGCCCTTATTTAGATTAAAACAAAACTGGGGAGAACACCACTATAAAAAGCTTTTAAGAGGCTCTATCAAAACTACAAATGGAAAGTACAGAATAAATATCAAAACTTGATGCTGTGTTACTAGAACCGTATCATACCCCAATTTGGAGAGGAAGAGGCTCAAACTCACTGCTAAGAGGGGCAGCATCCTTCTGATTAGCTAGCAGGGGGCACTGTCTGGAGTAAAGGAGCTCATGTCATGTTCACTCCAGCACAGGTTACCTCATCACCAAGGGGAGATGAGTGCACTACACAAAATCCCTACTGCCAATTGCACGGTTGAGAGGATTGTCACAAAAAAATCCCACAGGAGAAAAGGTTTTCTCCATTTGCAATACACTAAAAAAAACATACAATTTGCCTAGCTCCCTCAGAGTACTAAGCACACTATGGTTCACATTTTAACTATCAGTAACCCTACTTCATGGCAGATCTAAGCACTCTTTCTAAAAAAGAAAGCTAGAGTGCTGTTAGCACTCCTTATATACTCCCAAATCCATGTGAACATCCCACATTCCAGTCAATTAAGTCATTATCCAATCAGTAAACTCGAAAATACAACAGGACTGCTTACAATGTAATGTCACTGTGTTCACCCCTGCAGCAGCCACTAGTGGTGTCCCCATGTCACTACACCCTGCCAAAAACATATGGTAGTAATAATAATAATAATGATAAAAATACTATACTTTATTTATATTGAAGATTTCATTACAGTGAATTTCAATGTGCGTCACATTAAAAAAAACTAAAAGAGAAATCAAGGAACTTAAAAATTATGAAGACAGAAAAAGATAGGTAATCAAAAGTTCATAGTACTGGTCCCAGCTGAAGCTAATTGTCTGAGATGATCTGAGAGGCCGTGCCACAGGCAAGGAGAAGACACAGAGAAGACAGGTCACACGTAGTTTGCAGTTTGGTCAACGGGACCTGCAGCAGATTAAATTGACCTGATCTTGACGGGGTGAAGTTGGAAAAAGAATAAGCTCTGTGAGGCAAGCTGGACCCTTGTCCTTTTTAGAGTATAAAAGCAAGGAACTATGCTTCAAAATCTACTCCCTGGTGGATGGGGAGCCAACAGAGCTATGCTAGAACACTGCACTGACACTCCAGTACATTAACACTGCACTGAGAGAGAGGGGTTAATACAGACACACTGACTGGACACTCCAGTACATCAACACTGCACAGAGAGAGAGGGGTTCATACAGACACACTGACTGGACACTCCAGTACATGAACACTGCACTGAGAGAGAGGGGGGTTAATACAGACACACTGACTGGACACTCCAGTACATGAACACTGCACTGAGAGAGAGGGGTTCATACAGACACACTGACT